ATGATCGGATCCTCTTGAATAGAAACACACCGGTTGAAAAGAAATTGAAATGACAAACTCGACGATCGAGAGGGAATAGTATTCACATAGGAACATGAGAACACAGTTTAGGAAAGGTATGGAATCAACACTTGACATTGAAGCAACTCGAATATCACAACTCAAAACAAAACAAGGATTAGCTTGCAGAATAAGCCGGAACAAACATATGATAGAGATTTCGTCCGAAGTTTTTGTGGTGGGGCCTACACGGGCTCGATCGTACAACACCATCATGTACAAGGCAGTGCACATGACATACGAAGCATCCCCGAGTCAGCATAGCCAAGGACTCTTTAAGACACAACGAGACCACTGTAAAACCAACCATGGATAGGCGGACCACTAGACATCGAACCCCAATCTCATATCATACATCTGTCGGAAAGATATCCTAAGAGCTACTTGAATTCCCACTTATAAACTCCCGAAACTTTCCGGTTATGCAATCAGGTGTTGGGGATACCGGGGAAGCATAATATCTCACCCAAAACTAGCAAATCCTACATCCAGCTGTATCCATCCTTCAACACATAACCAAGAAACCTTCGGAAATCATTTACCTCAACCTTCGAAAAGCATCTGTTATATGAGTTATGGCGATACTCCCGAACTCCCGCCCCAGTACTGGGTGGCGTCGAGGTTATCTCACAAACAACTGCATAAAAGAGATTTTCGATGTCGGCGAAACTCAGTTTTCCAGAACTGCAACGATAAAATTGTGATGACAACACCTCGGAGCTCAACTCCCCGGGACACTGCCACAACCCCTAAATGTCAGGAGGCACCAAGAACAATGTTCTCTTCACAAAACCATCGGAACGATTCCAAGATACCCGCATGATCCAAAAAAAATTTAGTGAAATTTGAGAAGAGAAGAGTCAAAGATCTACGTCAGGATGCCTCACCAGAGCAACGAAGGGACTGAGGAGTAAAAAGAATCCTACTCTCCGATATATATAATCCTATAAGACTCAAAACATTTTGCTAGACTCAACAGCGCCAACGATTCGATCAAGCAGGGGGCTCCTAAGTCGGGGAAGGCTCTCATATCAACTTGTAACGCCCATGATGCGGTTATATCTCCCATGTGTCGAAGCACGACTCAGAGGCATAACCGCATTGTAAGCAATGTCGCAAGAGGGGTAATCATTACACATCCCATGTACTGAATAAGGAAAGAGGAACATAGTTGGCTTACAATCGCCACTTAAAACAATACATGATAATAACATTACAACAACCAGAATACAATCAAGGTCCGAGTACGGAACCAAAATAAAAGAAGACTACCCCTAATGCTTCAGATCCCCAGTCGTCCCAACTGGGCTCCACTACTGATCAACTGAAACGAAACAACACAATGAACAAGGTCTTCATTGAGCTCCTCCTTGAGCTCGGTTGTGCCACTTGCACGATATCATCGGCACCTGCAAACTGGTTTTGGAAGTAATCTGTGAGTCACGGGGACTCAGCAATCTCACACCCTCGTGATCAAGACTATTTAAGCTTATAGGTAGCTAGAAGGTATGTGAGGTGGAGCTGCAGCAAGCACTAGCATATATGGTGGCTAACATACGTAAATGAGAGCGAGAAGAGAAGGCAAAGCACATTCGAGAAATCTATGATCAAGAAGTGATCCTAGACTACTTACGTTCAAGCATAACTCCAACACCGTGTTCACTTCCCGGACTCCGCAGGAAAGAGACCATCACGGCTACACACGCGGTTGATGCATTTTAATTAAGTTAAGTGTCAAGTTTTCTACAACCGGACATTAACAAATTCCCATCTACCCATAACCGCAGTCACGACTTTCGAAAGTTCAAATCCCTGCAGGGGTGTCCCAACTTAGCCCATCACAAGCTCTCACGGTCAAGAAGGATATTCCTTCTCTAGGGACAATCCGATCAGACTCGGAATTCTGGTTACAAGACATCTCGACAATGGTAAAACAAGACCACCAAAGCCACCTAGATGTGCCAACAAATCCCGATAGGAGCTGCACATATCTCGTTCTCAGGGCACACCGGATGAGAAAGACGTCGGGTTGGCATAAACCCTGGTGGCCCACGGGGCGCCGGACATCGCTCAGGTTGGACCAACACTTAGAGAAGCACTGGCCCGGGGGGGTTAAAATAAAGATGACCCTTGGGTTGGCCGACCCAAGGGAAAGAAAAGGCTAGGTGGCAAATGGTAAGACCAATGTTGGGCCTAGCTGGAGGAGTTTTATTCAAGGCAAACTATCAAGGGGTTCCCATTATAACCCAACCCTTTACCAAGTATATAGATGCATTAATTAAATAAGAGATATTGTGATATCCCAACAAAATATCCAAGTTCCAACAAGGAACAAACTCCAATCTTCACCTGCAACTAACAACGCTATAAGAGGGGCTGAGCAAAGCGGTAACATAGCCAAACAACGGTTTGCTAGGACAAGGTGGGTTAGAGGCTTGGCTGAGCAATATGGGAGGCATGATATAGCAAGTGGTAGGTATCGCAGCATAGGCATAGCAATAGAGCGAGCAAGTAGCAAGCAAACATAGAAGTGAATTCGAGGTTATGGTCATCTTGCCTGAGATCCCGCAAGGAAGAAGAACGAGTCCATGAAGAAGACAAACGGACGTAGACGAACGGATCCTCACAAACGCGACGTTATCGGAACCAACCCGAAGAAGCAACACCGGAAAGAAGCACACAACATAGTAAACAACCATCACATAAACATGGCATGATGCACAACAAGTATGATGCATGTCCGGTTTAAATATGCATGGCATGGCAAAGTGCATAAACAATCCTACAAATTAAGTGGAGCTCAATATGCAACTCCGTTGCATAGTGACGAAACACCACGTGACTTATTTAGTTCTCTCTCGTTTATGTACCCAACAATATTAAATGTTGATTAACATGGCAAAAGGTGAAGCATATGAAAACTACCTATCTAAGCAAGTTTAAATGAGGCCGGAACAACAAGCAACAAGTCCGGGGAATCCTCATGTGCATATTTATGGATTTGGTACTGTTCTTCCCTAGGCACAATTTTAGAGTTTTTAAACATGCAAAGTAAAGCCATCATGTTAAACTAGGCATTTTTCCACCCCATTTCCATATAAAGTTTATTAGGTTTGGAGCTACGGTTAAATAGTTATGAATTAAAGCATTTTAGCATGTCATATGGGCAAAATTACACAAACAGAATTTTAAACATGGATGAAAGTTGCAAATCATGAAACTAGACAAAATTCTAGGCAAGTTACATATATAATTTAATTGGATCCGATGCACGGTTGTGGAGTTATTATATGCATGAAGTTTAGGGACTTTTCTGCAAATCGGTAAACCTCTGGATAAATAGACAAATTGGCAGCAGCGAGAAAAAAACACTACGGGCCGAATCTGGTGCACTGCTGGGCTGAATAGAGAGGAGGGGCTAGAGCTATGCTCACATTGGACCAACGGCCAGAAGCGGAGAAGGCCTGGCGCTGGCTGCGGGCCACGGAGGCAGATCGAGCCGAGGCAGGGTATAGTCAACGCGCTCGGGAGTGCTGACCCCATCGATGTAGGCGCGCGGCTGGAGACGAACAGGGGTCACGCTAGGGGAAGTAGGGCTCGAAGCAGCGGGGTTAGCGCTGGTCGTTGTCGACCCTACATGCAGAAGCAGGGGAGGCCGGCGATGAGGGCTTTGGGAGGTCGATCCGGGCCGGATCCGGTCGCCTCCGAGGCTTGGGCGCGCCAGAGCTTCGAGCTAGAGACGGCGGACGACATCCATGACCATGGCGGTTCGAGGACTTGGGGAAGCAGAGGGAGGTGGATACGCAGCGGCAGGGATGTAGCACGAGGACGGCGATGTCGAAACCCTTTCCATAGCGGCAGAGAGGGAGCAGAGAGATTAGGGAGGTGGGAGAAGGAGGAAGGAAAAGGTGAAGGGCGGCGAGGGCTGGCCTGCTGCTGCTGCTCGGGTGGCCGTCGACCACCGGCGAGGCAGAGGCGCGGGGACGAGGAGGCACAACCTCGTGCGTATCCTCGGGCACGCGGGCGTGGAGAAGGAGCTCGAGCTCCTGGTTGCTGCTGGTCGAGGAGGGCCGTGGGAATCTCTGGTTGGAGGGGATGGATCGATGGAATTGGGGGCGACGAGTGGTTGGCCCGATTGGAAAATCAAGGAAGGGTTTTGGATCGGGAGGGGATCTCGATGAGGATTTGGAAAGTGGCGGCGCGAGGGGGAAGGATGGGACAACTCTCCTTGATTTTAGTGTTGGACTGATACATATATAGCATGTGGATATTTGGGTAGGGCCTACCTCATCCCTCCGATCGTAATCGGCAGTCGAGAAAAAAATATGTTAGGAAGTCCAATTAACAAAACGGAGACGTTTTGTAGATGTTTGGGGATGATCCGGACCCAACTGTGACGACTGCCCTGGTCGGGTCCGGGGAAGTTTCGGACGCGCACGCGAGGGGTTCGATGCACTGTGCAGAGACGGTTTCGGGGCCTGGCAGTTGTCAGTGGACTGTGCAGAAAGCTTTGGGCTGACAGAAGAGAAGAGAGAGAGACCCGGCGACTGTTTCCGGAGAGCGAAAACGTTCGATGTTTGACCGACTATAATGTCGCTATAGTTACCGCTGGGCTATCAAACGAACTCTGAATGTGACGAAACTTGGCAGGCGGCCTACCTACAACATAACAACACCACATGCCACCTTTCATCCCATTCCAAGAACATTTTCCAGCCTCTTATAAAATAAAATATCGGACATGCCACGGGCGCGTGCAAGTGTGTCTGGGCTCAGAACGGACAACGAAGAGAACTGGCAGACCCAGACGAATGCATGTTTTGAAAACATGATGATGCAATGCACATGATGACATGGCAAGATGCAACACGCAAGCAAATGACAAGGCAACAACAGCGAATAACTGGAAGACACCTGGCGCAACGGTCTCGGGGCGTTACACTGCAATTACCAAGTGATCAAGATGAAGACAAAAGATCTACTACTCTTGAAGAAGTAAAAGAAGCTGTTGTAGATGAACTTGAAGAACCAGAAATTCATTTGCCCATCATCATACAAGAGTGTGATGTAGCAGGTTTATCCAATCCTCTCAATGACATGCATCCTTGTAATCTCTTTGATACTACCTTGCATTGCACGATGCCATCACTTAAGCTAGACTTGAAAAACTGTTTGCTTGGCCATGATCATACATACCCTGTTATTGGCATTTCTCTCATTTATGCTGACACTTATTCTCCTCATGTTAGACCTATGCTTAATGATAAATATCATCCTTATGCTAGCATTGAGCTTACTGATTTCTACCATCCAAAACATCTGCTTTATAGCTATGCTTATGTAATTGGATATTCGATTGATGACTTGGAGGGTATTATCCCTACCACTTGCATTGTCTCTTTCATTGAGTGCTCTTTCAGGTTCTTGCTTGTGCACGAATCACTACATGCTAACCAGGTTCGAGGTGACATCCCTTGGGATCCCGGTGGAGTCAGAGCATGGCGATGAGGAGAAGCAATGGGGCACACATATGGAAGAGAGGAGCTGGAGCGTGCACGAGGAAGCAAAAGGAGAGGAGTCGCAATGCAAGAGGATGTGAGATGATCGAGTGAGTGCTACATGATCAAAACCCGGTTAGCTGTTTCATGTCCCCAATCTGAATATATCATCCATTGATACATGCTGAAATCAATTGCTAGTTGGGTTGCTTGAGCCAGTTATTACTTGTTGTCAAGCTGAAATTCACCATGGCATCGTCCTTGATCTGAATTTGTGAACTTGATTTCTGAATGCCTTGTAAACTAGTGATCTACACCATGCGTGCTTGGATGAAATTAGTGAGAACTATTAATTTTGAGTGCTCAAATCCCTAGTACACTAGAAAACTTCGTCATTTTCTGCATTTACTATGATATACCTAGATCACCATGTTTAGATGCTGAATTTGTGCTAAGTGTGTTCCCATTGAGAGCAATCACCTAACCACTATGGATTAGCATGCTATGTTCCCTGGATAGGTAGCATGTGAACCAGACATGGAGAAGTGAGGATTCCTGTTTTTGTGCTTATGTGTTGTTCATTAAAAAAGTATTTCTTATAATGAATAATTATCTGATCTTACCTAACAGTAGCATGTCATGTTCCCTGGATCGGTGGCTTGTGAAATCTAGTTGGATCAGATAGGAGTTAATTATATTATAAAAAAATTGTAATTGTCGAACCAGGTGTATACCATGTTCTCGGGATCGGTGGTATGTTCCTTTGGGGAGACAAACAAAAAAACTAATAATTGGTCGAGCCAGGTGTATACCATGTTCTCGAGATCGGTGGTATGTTCCTTTGGTGAGACCGATAAAATATTATCATTGCTTCCTTCAAATTCAATAATGTTATGTTCCTGGTATTAAGTTTCTTTTTTGGGGATCATGCTCTCTTTAGGAACCCTTTGGTGCAGTCAGCACTTGAACTTGTTGATCCACATTTATCATTATAAAGGTTTAAAATAATTGAGTCTACTAGTATCCTATTTCTTTGTAGCACTCTTAACCATTGATTTTCACTAGCTAAGTCCAAAGCATGCATTGTTTGGAGATCTACTTCACTGGACATTCTCCAGTCAGCTCACTGTTCATTATCTAGCTCTTGCCATATTCCTTTGCTTGAGGACAAGCAAAAGTTTAAGTGTGGGGGAACTTGATAAGCACATTTCATATATATAATTTTGGCATACAAATATACCATTTATTGAGTTCTGACCATCAATTCTTGCTAAGAAATACCGAATATTTGAATGATAATCATACAAGAGCATGTTGACTAGTGAATTGTTTCTTTTGCAGAAAAGTGCGCAAAGGCACTATAATTGTCAAGACGTTCTACTATGTGGCTAACGAGAAGAGAGAAGGGCATGAAAGAAGTGAAGAAAGGGACCTGAGCATGAAGGAAAGAAGAAACCGAGGGCCAAAACTCAAGAAAGAAGGGATCTACCTGAGGCAAAAGAAGAAAAGGAGAAGGGCCAAAATTGCAAAGTGGCAGATGAGAGGAGGGGTCAAAATCCCTAGCGGCAGCCGATGCCCATCGGGCTGGCCACATCTCTCTCTCCCTCACCCCTCCTTCTCCACCTCCGGCCGCTGCCGCGGCCAGGCCATCGTGGCGGCATGCCAACAGCACCCCCACCATTACGTCGCGCCACCAGCTCCACTTTGCCGCCAAGCCATCCATCCACCACACCACCAGCAGCCTCCATCCACCGCCACACCTCGTCTGCCCAATCTAACGCGCGTCTAGTCCTCGGCGCGACTCCACTCCTTCTCCATCTCTCTCTGCTGCCTTTCTTCTCTTACCTCTGCTGCTACCTACTGTTTCGCCTCGCCTTCCTCAACCTTCCGCTGATCCTCCCATCTTCAACCTGTAATTCTTCTACGTCCTTCGTCCCTTGCTGTTGTTCCTCTCCTCTTCACCTGCTGCGATCTCTCTCTCCCACATCTTTGCTGCTGTCCTTGCTGAACCCTCCACGCTGCTGCTCCTCCTTCTTCTTCTCCCCAAAACTGTTGCTGCTCCCACTTCCCACGTCCTTACTGCTACTGTTCTTGCGCCCATGTTGCTGCTCCTCTCACAACACTGCATGGCCTAGGCTGAAGCTTTTCTCTGAACTCAAACTAATGTTGCTTCTCTTCTCTCTTTCATTCTTGCAAATTTCTGAAAAGGTGGACCTTGTGTACTATTCTGAACACCCAATTTGTGCCCTTTTTTATGTATTCATTTCTGCTATATATGTGAAACTGTGAGTTGTTAAGCTGATCATTTTCGAGTAGACTTGTACTGCCATATATTGCGAGTCATATATATTTATAAATTCGTGCTTGTGGTTAATTCTAGTAACCGTGGTGTTGCATATTCGTGATTGTGGTTAATTCTAGTATATGTGGTGTTGCATATTCATGATTGTGGTTAATTCTCTGAATTTCTGTAAACATTGAGAAGTGTATGTGTTGTAATGTTCAGATCAGACTAGTACTTGAGGTTGCTATTTGTTCAGTATCATACTTGTAAGATATAGTGCTTGTTATGTGTGATCAGTGCTAGCTTTGTCCTTTTGACATATATGTTGGTGATGTGAAGGTTCTTTCTCTCGTCACACAATTATGTTTCTTCCCCTTGTTATATGTTAGCAAGTTATATAAATGTTCATGTCTTTTCAATTCCCTTTTGTCATTGATGTTTGTCTATGTTAGTGTTTTAGTTTCTCAAGCATTACGAAAATACCAAAAAGATTGTTGAAGATAATCTGAACCTCCCTTGCTTCTTTGTCATTTCCTTTGTTGATGATCCTTGTTAGAGTTAGGTTTATTTCTTGTCTTCATCACGCAATATCATGTTACCTAGCTTTAGCCGAGCGTAGCCGCTGATCGCCTAGTCCCTGTGGGGAACACAACATCCACAGTTTGGGCATGAAAACCCCACTGTACTTACAATGGATCAACGAGTGATATTATTATACTCCTTATACTCTAGAATGGTCTAAATCTCTCTATTTATTCCACCCATAAAGCGTGCAAGCATAGCTTCATTCTCCTCAACAATACCACATCTAATCATGCCTGTTTGTAATTCCTGATAATATTCTTCTACAGATTTTTTTTCCTTGTCTTAAACCCTACAATTTTTGAATTAATTCACGTTGATAATATGGTGGAACCCAACGAGTACGCATAGCAGTTTTCAAAGCAGCCCAAGTAGCTGGAATAGGATATAATCTACAATGTTCAGACCACCAAACACATGCAAAGCTAGTGAAAGCACAAACAGTAGCAGGAACACGTCTCTCCTTAGGATATTGTAAACATGTAAATCGTTGTTCAGTTTCAAACTCCCAAGTAAGATATATATCAGGAACATATCTACCCTCAAATGGTGGAATATTCAATTTCAGTTTAGGGAGATGGTCATGATCTCGTACCTGAGGGGGAGCCCTACCATTGCCATTATTTGCATGTGGACGACCTGGTGGTTGTGGTGCTGGTGGTTGCACGTAGTTTTGATTTTGATCAACCTCATCCTTGTACTCTCCTGCATAATCATCCTCCTCCGCATCAGCAGCAGGAGCCACAGAAGTATCAACAGCAACACCAACAGTTTGGCCAGGCGCAAGAGGGACACGGCTCGCTCGGCGGAGGGCTGTTTTACGACATGGAGGTAGTCGTTGTTGTTGTGGTTGTTGTAGTTGTTGTTGTAGAGGTGCGTTAGGTGCAACCAGTGGTGGTGGTGGAAGATGCGCGAGCAATTCATTAAACTTGTTATCGAGCTTTGTTTCGAACGTCTTCTCCATGCCATCTATCTTCTCCATGGCCTCTTCAAATCTGTTTAGCACATCTTGCACCTGTCCACTCATCATTTGCTGAAATTTATCATGCAACTCCTTATTCGTCATGTTCTCCCACTCAGTCTCGTCGGCTTGTGATCTTGCCATGGTTAGTAGCAATAGAAACACACAAGAATATGATCCTACAGAGTACTAACAAGAGATGGTGGTGGGTGTCACAAATCCGTCAAGCAAATCTCAATTTCTTACCAGTTCTTACCCAGTAGTAGGCGGTGATCGGCAACCGTCGTAGTCAAAACTCTCAAAGCTTGGATAGATTGATTACCAGGGAGAGTCAAACACATGACGTAGATGTATGTGGAGCTGGGAAGGCTTATAATATGGTAGCAAAAAGGGTTGGCAATAATCAATTCAGAGATGCAAAGTTGAATAAACGCTCAACGACGGTTCTGTGCTGGTCCTAGGCTAGACCATGCTAGAGACGCGATCCTAGAACACTAACAAAATCACGAGTTGCACATAAACAAGGGAAATGCACACTCTAGAATTTTTTTCGCTCTGTTTTTTTGGCGCTCCTTTTCCCCCTTTTTGCGAAAAATTACTGTAATGGCGAGTGTCTCAAAACTATTCCCTCGTCAAACTGATAGGATGGGAATGAATTTTTTTTTGACTTTTTTTAAGAAATCAGGGCAGCGATGATGAAAAAGTGTGACAAAAAATCAATATGATGGCACGTGGCTCAAAAGACTCAGAAACGCCTAAATATAGGATAGGGAAAACATATTTTGCCTAAGAACTGTCCGGGGGTCCCCAGACAATTTTTTTTCCGAAACCTACTCATGCAAGGAAACACGAATTGGAAATTAGACGGATCTCGATAACAAATCTAATATGAAAGGAACTCGGATTGGTGGTGGATGTAGAGTGGTAGGATACGGCAGCGGTGGTGGTATGTGGATATGGATTGGTGGTGGTATATGGATACGGAATGGTGGTGGTATATGGATACAGATTGGTGATGGTATATGGAGATGGATCGATGGCGGATAAGTGGTGGTGGTAGATGGCAGGGGCGATGATGATGGTGCGGCGGCGGCATGACAACTTATGACCAGAACTCGAAACTCTAAAAGACTAGACTCTAAGACCAGCAACTAGACATGACAATGCAACCGCAAATTCAACA